GATGACTTTGAAACTGAGCTCCATATGGTTGACGTCAAAAGGACTGTCTCAGCTGCACAGTCCCACACAACTGCCAACAATATATGAGGACCATTGGTGCTGTAACGTTTTTCAAATATTTCAGGTGGAATTTGAGTTTATGACTGTGTGCGACGAGTCTGTGCGACGCGCACATATTTATGATTTTACTACGTTTTTTGTGTGAATTCTGACATGAAGTAGAGTGATCTCCTACACATGTGTTGTTACTGGAGATTTTGCTTTAAAATTTAAATTTCCAAATCTCCACATTTGCTAAGTGGAGCTGGTTTAAAGGGTTTTGTACACTCCTTATTTTGCTGTGCTGGCTTTGTTTGTTTGTTCTTTCCCATAGAGTGATGAAGTCAGAGCTGAGAAAAAAATTGATGTGACCACATTGTCACATTAATTATTTCTTATTTCAGTCATGCACAGGCCTGACCATAGAAATTAGTTTTTAATTATTCAATATCAACATCACAAAGGCCAAATCCATGGCGACCAGAGCTAAGAAATCAGAGAGCACAACCATAATCTCTCTGAGTTTTGTGAGGCCTGCCTGCAGACTGGAACCAATTAAAAAGCCCTAAATTGCCTCAGACTGCATTCTGTTTATCTACTCCTTGGCTGAGCAAGAGAACAGTCATAAAAGGATTTCGAAATGCCACAAATCTTTTACCTATAAACAGATTCATCCCTAAGCAGCTGTTGGGAATGACTTTAGTCTCGACAAATCCCCAGTTTAGGACCTGTCTGTCATTAGTGACAGATATACAGCCTCGTTAAATATTTTAATCCAAGAATTCTTCACAGCTCGGCATAAATCAAGTTGGGTTTTGCCCTAATCTACACTTGTTGAGTTTGAAAACAGTTGCAGCATGTTTTGTATTCAACTGTTTTCGCCTATCTCTAATCACACACTGGGAAATGGTTGCTGAAATGAATTAGTGAAGTGTTGATGAATGAAAACGTGTCAGTCCGTCAATTATCTTACTGGAGGCCACATGCTGAGTTTGGTATTGGTGGTTGTGACAAACAAACGTGACACGCACTTTTAATGATTTATTTTCTATCAAAAACTGATGGCACAGAGCACATGGACTCACACACTGCGCGGTCTCTCAGAGTGGGAAGATGATCTGTTGTCACGCGATTACTATACGTCAAAATGTCAAGGATGAGGGGGAAAAAAACTCACATTTTTTCTATTCAAAGAAAATGTCTCACTATTACAGAGAGACATATGTATAATATGGCGTCTCTATATTTGCAACTAATTCTAGAGAAAAAAATACTCTCTGTCCGGTGGCCAGAAATTTGTCAATGACAAAACAGGGCCAAAAAAAAAAAGGGTTGGGAACCACCGGGTTACACTCTCTTTCCAGTAAACACCCCTCCCTCACGCCTTACTCCTGGGATTGGCTCCAACCACCCGCAACTTTGAAATTGAACAAGTGGTCGAAAATGAATGAAGTAATGAATAAATGATGACTTCACAGTGTTTTCTTAACTTGAGTCACTCTACTCTATAGGTTTTCCTTTAGAGGAGACTGTTGAATTTATGGAGCAGACAAGGAAGAGAGCTTCCTGTATTTATCACTAGATGAGTTATAAATATCTGAAGATTTATTTTTTTCTTCCTGTGCAGTGATTTCCTTTTAAATGTCTCTCGTGTTATTTATTATATACATCAAATATATATATACACCATGAATCATCAATGTCCTGCATGAAGACAAAAATATCTTTATTGTTACACAGATGTTACAAAGATGAAGTTTTTCTCCTTTGTTTACCTTTCAAGGGAATAAAAACAGTATATTTATTTACTAGAAGGAAAAATAAATACAATCAATGCCACAGTTAATAAAAGGAGCTGTAAAACACCGATCCAAAAACCTCTGCAACCATCTAGTCAAACTACTTAGGCCTTATAAATAAACACAACTGTTTATTTATAAGGCATGACCTCATGGAAATAACAATAGCTGACTGTGAGTGAAAGACATCTGCAGATTCTTAAGGCCCTCAGGTAAAACTGCAATTAACTGATTTAAAATGTCTCTGTGAAAATGCAGCTTGGAATGGTCCTGTAGGAGTGAATATATACTTCCTAGCAGTGGAAAACAACAACAACAAGTGTTATGTAAGGATCTGTGTGGTTGCAATTGTGTAATGTGGGCTTTACAGATGGAACCTTGTGTACAAGCTCAACCGGTCAGACACCAACAACATAAACAGGTACATGACTCATCGTGTCTAAATCTGAACGCAAGAAAAGACAACAAAGAGAAACTAAAGAGCTCTTCTTTTTGTCATGTGAGATTGAACACGGCTCCGTCGGCTTCGAAAACCCCGGCCTTTTGTAAAGTGCGTGTGTCTTCTTCTGCCAGAATGGCTCCTTGTGTATGCCGTTTGAATGCTCATTCTATTGTGCAGAAAACAAATCAGTGCCGTCTCTTTTGCAGTGGGGCTTGATCTTTTGCAGAACAACGTGAAGTATATAACTGGAAAAACTCTGCTCCTGTGATCTTTCAGTGAAACCAAACCGACAGAAGCAGATTTCCTCCATTGTGAGCTGTAGACTGGGAGAAGATGTTGAGGTTGAGAACTTTTGCTGCGTTTCCTGCGCTGTGATTAATCACAATTACACTTTGGCTATACTTTCAGTAGCAAAAACAAAAACAAAATTCAGTCATTGTCACAGACAGGCCTGGTGTAGCTCGGTAATTTCCCGCCTAAAGATTAAAATGAGATCATCTACGTCCCAGTTGGTTAGCACTTTGCTGTTGCTTCTAACGGGCATAA